TTACTGGCCACTATGAAAACATAATGTTAGAGTAGATAGGGCTTGGGTTCCTAACCACTCTGGTAATAATAGGATAAGAGAGAGCATGTAGGAGGGAGTACGTCATGTGGTATGTTCCCAAGCCAACTCCATCAGGAACTGGAGAGCTTATATTGGCACTTAGCCCATGAGGTCTTCTTATCACTACCATCATTGTGATTTCCAAACATTACAGAAGTAGCATAGAATCCAATTTACTGCATTGATAAAAGATCAAGCTTGCCTTTCAACCTGAATTTTCTTTTTTTTTTTTTTGCAAGTAAATTTTTATTCAGAATTTGTATAAAGAAAAGAAAAAAGAACTAACAAATACAAAAATAAACATTTTAACATAAATTATTCATCCTATTTTCATACTATACAAAAAGAAAGCATATGTTCATACAAAAAATAATAATATAACCATTAGGCTCTCCTTAGCCTTTGACTTCCCTTCACCCTTTTGGTAAGTATCAAATAAGTCCCGGGTTGCGTAATTAGTTTATTAAAGTTTATAGTTATTAGCTGATAAAGTTTTCTAATACCGCCAGTTCCTCCTATATATCCGTTCCAATATATTTCCAAAACTTACTCCAATTTTTTGAAATTTCTGGTCGTCTTGGTCTCGTATTCTGCCTGTTAATCTATCTAGCTCGGCATAGTTGATCATTTTGACCTGCCAGTCACTTATGTTAGGAATAGTTTCTATTTTCCAGTTTTGTGCCAGCATAATTCTTGCGGCTGTGGTGGCATAGAGAAATATTTTTATCTTCATTTTTATTTCCTTACCCATTATTCCCAGCAAAAAGGCCTCAGGTCTCTTGGGAAAAGTGTATTTAAAAACTTTTTAAGTTCATTATAAATTGCTTCCCAAAAACCTTCACCTTGCTGCATTGCCACCACATATGGTAGAGGTCTCCCTCCCCTTCACCACATTTCCAGCATGTCTTATTTTCTGATCTATAGATTTTAGCCAATTTTGCCGGCGTAAGATACCATCTATAGAGCATTTTCCAAACATTTTCTCTCAAACTCGTACAGGCCGTAAATTTAATGTCTCTATTCCACAATTTCAACCACTTTTCAAACTCGATGTTATAACCGAAGTCAATTGCCCATTTAATCATTGCCTCTTTGACTTCCTCGTCTTTTGTATGCCATTCCAGTAATATGTCATATAATTTAGACAATGTTTTGTTTTTGCCTTCTATTATTTCTATATTGAATTTTGATTTCTTGTCCTCAAAGCCCATTTTTCTTTTATCTTGTTTTAACATATCATTCACCTGATGATATTGTAACCAGCCGGTGAATTGATCCTTTATTTCCTCATACGGTTTAAGTTTAAGCCCTTGTTCTGATTTTCTTAGCAAATCTTCGTAGGTGGCTGTCTTCCCTTCCATGTTGGTTTTTTATTGTTAAGACCTCTACTGGTGAAATCCACCATGGTGTTTTTCTTTCGAGAAGGTTCTTATTTCTTTCCCAGACCTGATATATTGGTCCCCTGAAAATATGGTTTAAGAAAGCCCTGTGGACTTTCACCTTCTCGTACCAGAGATATGCGTGCCACCCATACCGGTTATTGAAACCTTCTAAATCCAGTAGGTCTCTGTTCTCCAATTTTATCCAATCTTTTAACCAAAGTAGGCACGCTGCTTCATAATATAGGCTCAAATCTGGGAGGGCAAAACCTCCTCTTTCCTTTTTATCAATTAGTATTTTCATTTTAATCCTTGGTCTTTTCCCCTGCCAGATGAATTTCATCAGGGTTCTCTGCCATTCTTTACATTGTTTTAGACCTTTAATAACTGGAAGAGTTTGAAATAAAAACAACATCCTCGGCAAAACATTCATTTTAACCACTGCTATCTTCCCTAAAAGGAAAATTTCATCCTCCCCCATATTTCCAGATCTTTCTTTATTTTTTTCCATGTAACTTCATAATTATCTTTATATAGGTTTATGTTTTTGCCGTAATCCACACTCCCAAATATTTCACTTTTTCACCACCATGATTTCCACTTTTTGTTCTAGATCTTTCGTTTCTTCCTTAGTTAGATTTTTAACCAGCATTTTAGTTTTATTCTTGTTTACCTTAAAACCTGCCACCTCTCCACAGTCCTCAATTTTTGTAATGCTTCTTTTACACTATCTTGTGGATCTTCCAAAGTCAAAACAATATCGTCGGCAAAGGCTTTAATTTTGAATTCCTTCTTTCCTACTCTAATTCCTTTCACTTCTGTTGCCTCCCTCAGTCTCTTATTAAGTACTTCCAAAATTACAATAAATAATAAGGGGGACAGGGGGCAACCTTGTCTGGTCCCTTTATAAATGTTAAAATATTCTGTTGTATTGTTGTTTATCACCAGCTTTGCTTTCTGTTCTTTGTATATTGCTTCTATGCCTCTTCTAAATTTTTCGCCAATTCCCATCCTTTCCAAAGCCTTCTTTAGGAAGTTCCAGGAAACATTATCAAATGCCTTTTCGGCGTCTATGAAAACCAGTGCGGCTTTTCTGTCTATTTTCATGTCCAGGTATTCAATAATGTCAATCAAATTCCTTACATTATCCCGTAATTGTCTCCCTGGGAGAAATCCTGTTTGATCACCATGAATTTTATTAATCAAGACCTTCTTTAATCTTTCCGCCATTATGTCTGCAAATAGCTTATAATCATTATTTAATAATGAGATTGGCCTATAGTTCTTTACTTCCATAGTGTCCACCTCTTTTTTAGGGATCAATATAACATAGGCTTCCTTCCAGGTATTAGGTATCTTTCCTTCTCTCAATATATTGTTCATAACCTCTCCCAGCACTGGTGATATTTGGTTAATTAATGTTTTATAATATTTGGCCGGAAGGCCGTCCGGTCCAGCGCCTTCTCAGCTTTCATCTTTTTAATAGCCTTTTTATCTCTTCCTGTGTTATTATCTCATCTAGTGCTGCTCTTTCATCTTCTACAATTTGTTCCAGATGGTGTTTTTGCAGAAATTGATCTATTTCTTGTTCTGTTTCCTCTCCTCTTTTGTACAAATCCTTATAATATCTTTGGAATATTCTTTTTATTTCTTTTGGTTCTTCCATAATCATATCTCCTTCTTTTATTTTACTGATCGTATTCAACTTCTTCCTTTCTCTCAACTGCCACGCTAGATATTTCCCTATCTTATTTGCGGACTCAAAGTTCTTTTGATTCATCCTTTTAATTTTCCACTCTATCTCTTGGTTAATTATTGTAGCAAATTTAGCTTGTAGTATTTTTAAGTTCTGTTTTAAACTCTCTTCACTAGGGTTAACAGTTAATTTTCTTTCATTTTCCATAATCTGTATTAAAATCTGCTCTTTCTTTTTTTCTTTTTCTTTTCTTAATTGGGTATTTTTCTGAATCAAAAAACCCCTCATGACCGCTTTTCCTGCGTCCCACACCATCTCTATGGAAGTTTCTCCATTTAAATTCCACCTAAAGTATTCTTCAATTGTTTCTATAGCCTTATTTACTATCCTTTGATCATTGAATAAATATTCATTCATTCTCCATCTGGCTGTTTTAACCTCTCTACCTTTTAACTCCATGGAAACCGCACTATGATCAGATAAAGTTCGAGGCCAAATTTCAGACTTAATTAAATTCTGTACCAATTCCCTCGAGACCCAAATACTGTCTATCCTCCCCCAGCTCTGATTCGGATTTGAAAAAAAAGTGAATTGTTTTGCAGTAGGGTTTTTAAACCTCCAAACATCCGTCAATCCCAAATTATTTACCATGTCGAAGAAAGATCGTGGTAGTTTACCTTCTTTCCCATCTTGTCTTTTTGTTAATCTATCCATATTCGGCGTCACCACCCCATTAAAATCTCCCATCAATATCATTTTCTGGTCCATCCATTCCATTAGTATATTATCTAATTCCAAAAGAAAGCTGATTTTTTCTCATTCGGGCGTATATTCCAACCACAACTATTTTTCTCCATGAAACACCATCTGTACCACCACTACTCTCCCATGTTCATCTTTATACAGTAGTTGCGGGTCATATTTTTCCTTTATATAAATTACTACCCCTCTTTTCTTAACCTTGTCGGAGGTCACAAAGTCCAATCCCAATCTCTTATTACTTAATACTCTCTTGTGTTTTCCTATAACATGCGTTTCTTGAAGACAAATTAAATCCCAATTCTTTTCAACAATACATGTGCAATCTGATTCCTCTTATTTTTATTGTTCAAACCATTGACATTCCAGCTTATTGTTTTTAAAGCCATCTATTAAACTATTCTAGCTAATTTAACTAGATTAAATAGAGACTACTGTTCCTTGCTTTCCTCCTCTTGTTCTTCTCCTTCTCCTGTTAAGCTCTCCTCTTTTTCTTCTTCTTCACTCCCTTCACCCTCCTCGTCTCTCTGTCGTTCCTCCCTTTCCACCTCCCCTTCAACTTTTCCCAGGTCCTTCTCGTATCTCCTCGCAAATTTTTGGAGTTCAATACTGGTGCTTAATTTAAACCTTTTTTCCTTAAAGTAGAATGAAATGCCTTCGGGAAACTCCCATCTATACAATATCCCATTCTTCTTCAATTGGTTTGTTAATTTTTTGTATGGCTCTCTCCTTCGAAGAAATCTCGAAGGAATTTCTCTAAAGATAATAATTGGGCTTCCTCCAATATATAACCTTTTTATGTGGTTCTGTTGCAGTATTTCATTTCTTATTTCCAAAGTGTTGAACATGACAATTACATCACCTGGCAGCTTTTTCTTTCTGGCTCTGTCTGATTTTGGTCTTATTCGAAAAATATTTACTAAATGGCAGTTTACCTCCTCCTCGCTCTTATTTAACCAAGTTGCCAGCTCTTTTATCATTTTAGATCTAATATTCTCATTTGGGGTCTCTGGTACACCCCTCAGTTTTAGGTTGGTTTGATTTTGCCTCATTTGCGTCATAGCCATATTGTCCAACAACTCCTCCTGCACTCTTTCTATCTCTTTAACTTCTACTCTAATTCTATCCACCTCCTTCTTACTAATTTTCGTATCTTTTTGCACCTTTTTCATTGAATCTTCCAAAACCTTAGTTCTTACTGATAAATCTTTAACCTTTCCTGTCAATTCCCCCACCACTCCCTCCAATTTCTTATCCAAAGTGTCCTGTACCTCAAGTAATTTTCTCTCAATATATTGTTCATTATTTTTGAATTCTTTCCTTATTTCGGCCATCAGACTGCTATAGTCTTTAATTTCTTTACTTTCCTTAGCATCTTCTTGCCTCGACGACCTCCTTTCCGCTGGTGTTGCCACGCCTTTTTTTGCACCGTTTGTCATTTTGTAGGCTTGAAAGGTCTTGGGGTCCACCACACTAATGTTATTCAAAAAGGGATGAGGCACAGGATCACCGATAATCTCTGATGGGTTAATAAGTTACCGGGTCTGGTGTTGGGGTATAATAGCAGATATTAGGCATCACACATCAGGCTATACACAAAGTTTTACAATCTTTACCTTTTACAGTCTTTGTCCTCTTAGAGGGTGGTATTATAGAGGTCTGGCGTCACCAAAAATTTTTCTTTACTGGAGACTTGGCAGTTCTTCAGGAAGTGTTCTTTATGCTGGTTTAAATTCTCCTATTTGGCTTTTGGCGCATGTCCCTTTAAATCTCAAATACATGCAGAGGCGTAGTAGATCAAGGACAAGATGGAATGGCGGATAGCAAAGCCAAGTTAGGTCTCGAAATGGCTTCCTCCTCCCTTTTTATACCCATGGGAAGTCACTAACATAAAACCAACATTAAGGTCTGGGGAAGACCCATGCTTTCTTCCACCCACTTCAAACAAAAAGTTGATGTTAACAATAACGTCCTCAAAAAACCTGTCAGTTAAAGCATCAACCAAATGCCCCAGAAACCTCCTTTCCTCCTCTCAAACCCGGTAAAGAGTCTCTCTATCAAAAGAAGAAAACTCAGTATTACCTTGCTTCCAACTCTTTGTACTTTGTACTTTGTAAAATGTACTTTATTATCGAGGATATTCCTTCCCCTCGCTAGCGGTTACTTTCTTGCTCTTTCATTCACGTCTGCCAGCTTTTCGCTTTACTCCTTTATCATTCTTACCGCCAGTAGTGAATTCCTCCTTCCTTTGTCTTTAATTACTTCTCCGCTGGGTACTTCATTCAACTTCATTCAACGTTCCTTTTGTTTTTACTTTGATTGTTTTCCAGTGTTCTCCCTCCTCTGCTTTCATCAAAGCTTTAGAACTATTTCCCAGCTTTTCCTCTGTTGTTGGAGGTCCGCCGCTTTCACTCGGAGCCTGAGGCTTCACAGCATGGAGTCTGATGTTTCCCCTTCTCGCTGCGGCTCCAGCCTTGTTAAACGCCGGCAACACAGGCGAGCACACGCAGCCTTGCTGGGTGTTTTGACCAACAGGATATTCCACCTGTGGTTTAGGGGTTCACGGAGCCTTCGTGACCCCTCTAAGACCCCCACGCTGTTCGAGACTCCTCAGACGAGTTGCCTCGCGCTCCTTCCCGTGGCCGCGGCGTCCCGGAAGCTTTCAACCTGAATTTTCAAGTTCTCAAAGTGAAGCTCTCCAAAGGGAGAACAATATTAAAATATACATTAAACGAACTAAACCATCAGTAGAATTAACTTGAGAGCAGGGAAAATAACGTGTAACCAACAGACCCCACACGATAACATAAATGCAAACTTTTTTAGATAATAAAGTTTTGAACTTTTAAATAAGTATGCAGAGGACAGGGTGATTAAAGTTGAAAATAAATCAGATACTTAGGAAAATAAAGTCAACAACTTTGATTAAGTTCAGCAAGAGATGATGGATAAGCAGCTAGACACAGATAAATGAATATTTCTGATTAGCAAGTAAATAATTAGACCAGGTTGATGAACTTGATAACAAGATTGATAAAAATTACCCCCAACTTTGTGGGTGCTTATGTGGGGTGTCAGTGAGAGTCCAGGTGATGCAGCTCATATATTTTATCGAATGACAGATTTTTCTTTATAGGAAGGATAGATGTTGTTGGAAGGAAATGTCAGTCATGATAAAATTTTGTTCATTAGGATTTGATAAACAAGTTCACTTTATTCTGTTGTGTTTACCAGTAAAGTCTTATAAAATTCCTTCAGCAGCAATCCTGGCAAAAACCAGATATGATGACACAGTAGTTGCATATATGGTTTTTTTCTGAAAACATTCTTAAGCCCCCTTCCCATGTTTTTTCACGGGAACAGACAATATGTGTTAAATTGTACTATGGGTGGCATTTTTAACTCCATCTCTCATGTCACATGGCTCCTCTGAGACACACATTTGCCATCCATGTATGAGTGTAATGTCTGAGGTTAATATGAAGGCATCTATGTGCAGAGGCTTCATTAGATACAATAACACTGATCATACATGGTTCCAGGAGAAATCTATGTGTGAAGGCGTTCTCACCTTACATGTCCATCAGACATCCATGCTGACATGTGAATGACAAGAATGGGGCCAGGAGGAGCTGTGTGATTTTCAGTGGGAGGGCTAACTTTGCAAGCCCCTTTCAATGTAATTTGCCTTTTTTGCAAGTAGCTGTCACGAACACACCAGCTCCAAGTGTAATCTCGCAGCTGGCTGCAGAATGCAGTCAGGAACAGGGAGGCTGGGCTTTCACGCCAACACATGAGAGCCCGCAACTGCCAGCATCAAGTCTCCCTGACCTTGGACGGCCGACTGATAAGGGAGGAAGGAGAGCAGACTGGAACACAGCCAAAGTTCCCTGGAAGCCCAAACAGACGCAGAAAGCCACAGAGACAGCTTTTTGGAACAGGAAATGGCTGCAGCTGACCAAATAAGTCTGAGGCGTAGGCGTATAGGAAGGCTGCTACACAGGAAGCAAAATAAGAAACGTAAAGGTCAAAGGGTCAATCTCTTGTCGACACAGGAAGAACTCCTCAGAAGGGTCAACTGAGTGATGGGGGCCAGAGGCTTGCTAGAGCCGTCTGGAGATAATTGCTTGTTTTTTGCAATAAATCCTCCTTTTTAATTATGTACGCTTACTGTGTTATCAAGCCGGGAACCTGGACTCCTAACAGTAGCATATGAAGGGGTTTTATGAAAGTACATTTACTGAATGTATTCCTTAGATTTTCTTGCGCATTTCATGCAATTAACGTCACACCTAATTATGTGTGTTTGTGCGAGTATCCTTAGGTTTTTAAGGTTTGTATATTAAATCTGAGGCAGAAAGACAAATATTAGTAGATCAGCTTTTAAAAAGGGGATAAGGTGTGTGTTGGGGGACTAACCATGTCAGCACTGTACTGAATCAATGGATATGTATATGTTTACAAATGTTCCTTTGCCATCTTAATGTTACCACAGTTGGGGAGGCAGGATTTTATTTAGGAAAGAGAGGATCTGGACTAAGCTGGCCATTCCTTCACTAAATCCCTCTCTGTTGTCCCAACACTTGTGATTTCTGCATGCCATCATCACATGAAGTTGCACTGGCACATGGGGTTCAGTAGAAATCCTATCCCTGTCCAACTGGCACAATTCTAGGATTGCCAGCTAGATGCCAGTTAGATGCATAATCATACAGAGAGCTCCCTGCCTCCCCTCCATTTTTTGCTATTCATGATGCAGTTCAATCTCAGTGATATCCGTATGTTTTGATACTGTATACAGACAGCAGTTGTAAATAACTATTTTCCTTTTTTTATCTTTGAACAGTCAACGAATGTAAATGCATTTGTTTGCTTTTTGTGTTAAAAACTTCCAAGAATATATATATGTGTATATATATATATATATATATATATATATATATATATATATATATCACACACACACACACACACACACACACACACACAATACTTTGTAACCAAATATATTGAAATGTTGAAATGTTCTGGGGAAAAATATCACTGAATTTATATGAGCACTATATGCGAGACAAAATGTGAGATTTCACGGTTTTACAAGAAAAACACATTAGCTGCTTTTATATGAAAGAGAGAGGTTAATTTGATTCTGGGTTGTAATAGAGGTTAAGTATAAGCCTTTAATGTTCTCAAGATCATCTCCAAATAATAATTCTTCCACAGAAATGAATCACTTGCAATTCAGGCAGACAAAATGGAGAAAATGGTGAGACAATGTCTACAAGTAGTAGTGAAGATTTAAAACTCCTGAGGCAAACTTTAATATTCCCATTTTTTTTAAGAACTGGAAATGTGTTTCAAAATAATGTAGGTGTTGGATTAGGTGCCTAAATCAAGGCTTCTCATACAATGATGACTACAATCATAGATTAGAAAAAGGTAGGAAAGTCATTTCTGCCCTGGGTGAGGTGGAGTGCAGGTACAGCCGGAGGGGTTTTAATTCACAAAAAAATGTGCGAGAAGATACTCTGCTATGCTAATTCCTGGATGGATTTGCTTAAATGAGACTTTCTGTCCCTTACAGCCGCCACAATGGCATTATAGTTCATACCAAAATCAGCATAGAAAGCAAGCGGTTTAATTGGGAAGAAATCTGCCATCTGCTCTAGAAAGACATGGTCTTGAAACATATGCAAGACTGTGGAATAACAAATGCCATTACTGCCAGATCTGTACATATCAGAATTTCAGAAGTTTCTCACAATGTTCTCACAAGAAGCTATTTATTTAAAGGAATATGTACACAGATATTCTTTTTTAAACCACCACCACCACCAAAAAATGTTGGAGTATTTTATCTCAATTAAAAGTCCACAATGGTGACATTTTCCCAACCAAACTACGGTACATCATTATCAGAGAAACAGACAGGTTATGAATTACACATCTCTATCTCCAGCTTTTTAGTTTATTACATATGGTCTTAAAGTGACTTATATTGCCAATTATACGACTTATAATGGTAGTCAAATTCTGCTATGTATGGTTCAGGCTTCTCTAAGGTTACACAAATGTTTCTGAATACAGATTTCTATCTTAATGCACTTTTTGCAATGCAAGAGTGCAATGCAATTTCCTTTCCCTGTATCAAAAGGCTTCCAAAATTCTGGTTATATTGGAAATGGAGTGTTGTAGTAACAGCTTATGCCACCTTAATATGTTACATCCTTGGAAAACTTGCCAGTCATACATTTACCCTAAGCATTTCTCTGCTACATTTGCTTTCACTTCAGTGCCTTCTTATGCTGGAAAGGTATTCTGGCATAGCAGGGAAAAATGAGTCATTGTTATCCTGTGCTATCTGGAAACAAAATGTCATTGCAGCTGTTTGCTTTTCATTTCCTCACATAACCAAAGGCTAGCTAGGCTGCTGTTAAATTTCCTCTAATATATATATTTTTTCCCCTGCTGGGAAGCTTCCTTTCTAATTCATTGGGGAAAATTACCACATTTGTTGCGTTCATTTTGCAGGAGCCACAGAGCTCTAATTTCCCATGTTGGTTTTCTCATGCTCTCCTGATTAGGGAAAACAAATTCATTATTGTGAGGGTAAGTACGTTTGTGTCACCTGACCATACAGGAGAGCACATTATGCCAAAAGGGGCAGAGTCACTCATACAAGTAATAAACAGACTTCACACTTCCCAATAAAGACGGGAATTCGTGTTGAAGCAAAAGGGGCGTAATTTACCCTGACAGCTGAGACAAGTAATATAGTGTGTGCACTTATTGACAAAGCTGGTGTTTGTTTGTTTGTTTGGTTTTTGTTGTTGCAAAAAACAAAACTTGTTTCCTTGGCAACTGCTGCACTCTGTAATACTAATGCTAAAAAAAGTGTGGAACTTGCTTTACCAGGAAGAAACCATTCTGATACCTGTGCACAGTTTTTAGGCTTTTATTGGTTTGTCAACCTTGGAAGTTGTTTGGATCCTTGGCTAATTATGTTTGAATATTGTTGCATGCCACCTCAGTGTCTGAGATTCCAGGGCTTCCATGTGCTTACTCAATGTTCGTTTTTTCTTTTGAGAGTGGAGACTGTGGTGTCTTCAGGATATATGTATATACAACCTGAGCCTACAATGAAGGGGTTCACAGCATTGACACCCCAAGAAGGTCTTCTTTGTCTCAAATCTGCAGCCTTGGATTCAAACAGAATCCAGCGTGCAGTTTTCTTCCAGCTTCTGGTTCACATAACTCAACTCTGAACTCAGGCTTTGTCCCTCTAACTATCCCTGAGCTGAGGGGAACCTGCCATTTTTGAGAATAAAACAGTATTTTATTTTTATAAATACTAATTCTGATAATGAAGTATTTTCTGAGAACAATGCTGACAATAGGGACATAATCCAAAACTGAAGAGTAGAAGTGGGGTGGTTGTTGTTTTTTTTTGTGTGAAAAAGAAATGGATAACTGTGGGGTTATCAATTGACTTACAGAAGTAGAAATTAACCTAAAATAGTTCTCCTGTCAAGTGATATGTAAAATGGCTGACTGGCGACGGGAACCAAGGGCATAAATAGGCCATTTTCTCCTTAAATTTAAAAAAGGGCCTTAGGTTCTGAAGTAAGGTGCTGCTTGCCTGTTGAAGATTGTGCTCCCT